GCCACCCCTCTTTGACAATAAACAGGAATTTTCCTCAGAATCCCTAAAAATCGGGAGTCTGGAGACAAAAATTGGAGTCTTCAGAAACCCAGATGATTCTCATTATGTTACGAATTGAACCACCTGCAGTGTGTAGGGGAAACATTTGTATGGTTGTGAGAAGGAAAGAGAAACATATTGATATATATTGGCCAGTTAGAGCCTGGAAAAAATGAAAGACATCAAACAGAAAGGAAACAAGAAAGACATATATGCAACAGAAAGACGCAAAGGAAGACCTATCAAGGACATTCTCCGACCAGTTGCCAGGGTGAATGTGATGGTGGCATTTCATTGACAATAATACTGCTACTTCTCTTTCTTACTTCTTTACTTGATATGATTGTTAATGGTTAGTAGTGTCTGTGAACCCCACTAGTTCAAACATTTTGAAGGCTCTCCAACTTCGAATTTTAGAAAAGGAAACAAACAGAACGTCTCGCTTCTCTGACATCTTCAGTAACATTACATTAAAAAAACAGAAAAAAGTTGACACAGATTCCTAGTTCCAGCCTCTTAACTATCTTAACATGTCACAAGTAACTCAAACCCAAACCCAAGCAAACCACACAATGTACATTCTTTATATTATTATTATTATAGCCTACATATACATTTTTTCAATTTGGTGTTTACAATAATATATATTCATCCCTCAGAGAGAAATATGCATCGCTGCTCACCTCGCCACAGCTACGCCATTACTCACCATGATCCCCTGTAAAGACAATAATTGTATTGTCTGCGTAGCCAGCCTCTTCCATAGCACTCAGCACCTGACCAACTTGTGCATCCATGTAGGATGTCGCCGCATAGTAACTCTGTCGCATCAGACGCTGGAAGAACAAAGGAGAAATATTGCAGATGCTGAATTTGACAAAACTTAATTTTTTGTTTCTCTCTTCCAGTCTTCCATCTACATGCATGCCTTATACCATATTTTGTAAGAAGCACAAAGCATAAATAAAACAAACACTTCTTCAGTCTTATGGTGTGAAATGGGATTAACACTCCTCCTATAAACACTGTCAGTACTGTCAGACCAATTAACAGCCAGGATCTCTGAAAATTCACGCGGAGAGCTTAGAAAACTCCTTATGCTATGCAAATTCAAGTAAAGGCCTATGGAGATTTGCACGACACAAGTTCAGGTCAAGATTTGTACCATCCTTGTCACTCATTATTTTTTAAAACTCACATATGTTCATTTCTACTTTTACTTGAACACCACTATTCTGTTATGATGACTCAAAGAGAGGATTAGGTCTGACCTTAAAGTTAAAGGGAAGACAGAGCGGAAGCTTTGAAAAACTATGCTCATCACAATAAGAGAGTGCACTCTGAACCTGGTACTGATCTGGCACAGGGCCAAAAGGGAAGCTGATGTTGAGTCTCTGCACATCATCTCGTTCTCGGAGGTCGGTCCATGGGTTCCATGCAACAAGGGGCATTCTGGGAGGGAATGTGTGATGCTTGGCCAACTCAATCTCCGACAATGGGTACAGGTCTAAATAGACAAAAGTTTTGAGTTTTTTAAAAAGTAAGTGAAGAAGATCACATCGATAGGACAATGACAATTTAGTGCAGGGGAAAAAGCAGGATTGACAGATATAAACAACAGAGGGAAGAAAAAGAATGCTTACTCCACCTGCTGCCAAAAGTTAATATGGACAAATTCTTATGAAACGATCACAGAAAAGTTTAAAAAACCCCCACCAAAGCAACAAACAAATCTGAAACAAATGTTATAGTTGAAACCCTTCCCTTGCGTTCCTCCTCCAATTTTTCCTCCCCACCCTATCTCCCTCCTGCAACAATAAAAAAAACCCCAAATCAACTAAAGAAAACTACAAACAATAACAACAAAATTAACTTGTCTAGCCCATTGAGAAAACAAAACCAAAACCTGAGGGGTCCAAACTAAAAATCAGGGCAACATTGCCAGTAGGCCTACCAGTAAACTAAAATGACTGAACAGAAAAATTACCTAAATATTCCTTAGGATATTTCAAGGGAATGTGCGGCTTATGGAATCCAACAGCGAGAAAAAAGGGACGATTGTCCTTGCTCGATGAAAGGTTTTTAAAAAACTCAACAGCAAATTCAGCACTTTGGATATCTGGTAAGGACTTTTCTGGCATCTTCTGAACGTTGACAGGACACACAATGTTCATTCCCAGCGTCCCATCGGGATTTGGACAAACCTGGAAACACACATATATCACAGCTGTTCAGTTCTACTATCCTAGCTGAGCACTTAGTTTAACCCGTCCGCTGACCTCCCGGGGTCATAAATCCCACCTGACAGTTAGGCCACGCATCGCTTCCTGGGCGATAGCGCTGTTAGCCGATTTTGAGTAGAAGTCTGTATTTTCACTTGATTTAGACCCCTGTAAATGTCCTCTCTTATCTATCACTATGGGTGTGTGAGGTATCACATGAAAGCCCAGACTCTCCCCAATAACCCGCATCCTTTAGTTTGGTTCTAGTTCTAATCGTGATCACACACTGCCTCTACTTAACCCTACCTTGTGGTGCACGTATTTCTCGCATCGCTACAAAGATCAGGATATTTTTCCATTCGTGAAACGCAGATTGTTATCCCTTTTTATCTGCCGTATTGAAAGTCAGTAAGGAAGTTATTTGTGAAAAAATTGTTTAGATTCACTGGAAAACTTTAACAGGACGGCGAATTTTGTTACTCCACCCTGTAATATTTTCCCGACCGCCGTGCTGCCACGTGCGGTATTCACCCGAGGTCCCGCTTTCACTTTCCCCGATTCTTTATCGACAAAAGTTAGGAGAGTCTGCTACAAGAGAGAAAATGGAACACTCCGGGAACTACACCTTGTGGGTTAAAAAAACCAACCTGTGTAGAAGTAGAACATGCGCGGCCAGAAGTAAAAAAGTTAAGAAGGCAAACCAGAGCAGATATTTTTGTGTAAGTTTTAAAAATGACTTACTCGTATTCTATCGCGTAAACGTGGACACTGATAGTGCAGACAAAATGACTTACTCGTATTCTATCGCGTAAACGTGGACACTGATAGTGCAGACAAAATGACTTACTCGTATTCTATCGCGTAAACGTGGACACTGATAGTGCAGACAAAATGACTTACTCGTATTCTATCGCATAACCGTGGACACTGATAGTGCAGACACACATCCCTATGAAATGTGCAACAAATGTGTACAGCGCATATACCGCTCAAGGAAACAAGTTCGAGAAGCAACCTTATCTGCTGCACAAAAGAAGTATAGAAGAAAGTTAACACAGCTGGAGACCTTATCATAGTCGATCTCTGATAGGAAACCATTGTCACCAATACCCAAAGTGCCCAGTGTACACAAACATCACAAAACACATTTGTACACACACAGCAGCAGCTCTTACATCGAACCAAAACATCATAGATGTAGCCCATGCGATCAGACAAATCTGATTTATTAAACAACTATGCAGAAGTACACCACCTCATCTCTTACACATAAAATGCAAGAAACTGAGTTTGACATTATAGGAACAGCAATTTGTGCGAAGCTGTACATGTACAGACGACTATTTCCAAACGCAGTCACACCCAAACAACACATATTAGGGCACCACTGTCTGCTTTTTATTCAAGGATATAGATTTGGCCCGGGTTTAATGGGCGAGCAGGGTGGCGAACTTATGCACTCCAGCATCGCAAAACTGGAGAAAAGGACAGTGGGAATTAAAGAAATGGAAACAGTTGAAAGCTGTTACTGAAGCCCACAGACCGCAAAAAGAAAAAAAAAAGAGGAAGATAACTAGCCTGTGACACTTTTGCAATTATTGTTATAAGTACATGTATTCATATGTTATGTGTTTGTGAATGTGAAAGCAGCTCTAGCTGAGAGGAGACAATGAGGAAACTCTTGTTTCATGAAACTGGATAGCAGACATTTGTGAAAACTGTTAGGAAACAACGAAAAATCTCTCATTTAATTAATTGGACAGTAGTAAATCTTCTACAACTTCCCCATTTCTGAAGGAGTCAAACCAAACGTAAGTGTTTCCGAAAGCTCATCATGTCACTGATGTATACCACTGATTATTTTAGAGATCTGGAGTACACATTAAAAAATATCATAAATTTAAAAAGTAGACCTACGAAACAATGTTCCCAATAGATGTCCTCAATTGCACCATGTTTTAAAGGGTACCCTGTTAAGCATACCAATAAAAAGTTATTTGCGGTACAGCCCAAGAATGCCTCTATCTCTTGATAATAATTCCACTTTGATTTGTTTGTGGGAAAAGCCACAATGAAGCAATTAAACTGTATAAAAAGTGTTAAGTCACAACAGTTCACTCGCAGAGCAAAGGTCAAAGTGACCCCCATGACCACTCGGACGCGGCATGGCTGACCGGGTCAACTCCTCAGGTAACTAAGTGCTTTGCTCGGGAACAGCCGTGATAAATATATAATATATATATTGGAGAGAGGGGGTCATTTTGGCAGATAATGTGACGAAACGTGACTGTTTTGTGAAGGAATTCCCGACAGGGGTTAAGAATACAAAGACAAACTCAATGTAATGAATACTATAAATGTCGTGAACAGATAGCCTAAGAAGAGGAAACTGTTGGTCATAGTCATAGAGATGACGGACCAGAAACGTGGCTTTCCAAGCGACCACCCCCGACTGTAAATTCATGCAGAATCATCCTCGAGAAACATTTTCTCTTGTGATTCGTTGAACAAGTCCGTTATAAGTTCTTTGAGTGCAGCTTATTAGGCTTACTTAGCTAATCTTTAATCCTATAGAGGCCTGTCTAGTGTTTTACGGCATTTATGCATGTCGCGCATCAGGCCTAGATCTAACTAAACATTACACGCAGTCCCTCAAACTCAAACACCAGTCAGAAAGCTTCTCTCAAAGATACATTTCCAGTGACCAATCAGAAAACATTTCAGTCGTGGCCCCCCCCCCCCCAACATTTAACTGACCAGCCATTAGGGCTGTACCCCGGTAGCAAACCCGCTCGTGCTCACAAGCCCCTAGTTCAAGTCACAAGCCTCAAATCAGTAGGTCAAATCATCAAATCAAATCACCAGCATGATAAGTTGAGTCTAGCGCAAACTGTAACCTCCTTTGTCTAGTCTAAACTTCAAGTCCACAGCAACTAGCAATCCGCGAAGCCACTCGTGTCAGGCCCCCTCATCATCCCCACCCTGCTTGCAATCCGCGAAGCCACTTACGTCAGAAAAAGAGAGAGGGGGAGAGTGAGAGATCTCGCCCACAGAGTCACTGCGCGGCGTGGCGCTGTAGTTTACTCGATTAATCGGGGCCTGCGCAAGCCTCAAGTCCCGTCCGCTGCCACAGGCCCCACAATTCACACAGTACTGATTTGCGCTAGGCTTACAGATTTGCCCCAGGACAAGCTCCAAACCTGACCTGCTGACTTGTACTGTCTCGATACACCGAGCGAGCGGCACGGGCTCGATGGCGTAGGACCGTCTTGATGGCGACAAGACAGTCCGATGTGTTCAAACAGCAAGACAGTACTGTGCGCTGTGTGAACTTTGAACCGTGGAGGAAGGGAGAGGCTGGGCTTGTTTTGGTGCAAGGCATAGAGAGCTGAAGTTATTTTTAACTTCCCGCCGTTGATCAGCTAAGCGAATGGATAAGTGAGAGGGAGCGTGGTATTGTAGTAACAGAGACCTAGGTTTCTGGTAGTAATAAGAATAAGTTGACTTAGATTACCCTAGAATGGAGAACTCCAGGGGTCGTTGTGATTGGCTTTTGTATCGTATGTATGTAACCTATTTTGTAGATGTGTTACACTCACAGTGACATAATACAGAACATTTAGGAGACGGGCTAGGCCTACTTCAACCCAATGTCAGGGCCAACCTGGGCTGAGAGGGAACAACGCCCCAGCAGAAAGACGGAGGTTCTCAGTAAAAATTTCTCCCCATATGGGAATTGAACTGAGGTCTTTTGCGTGCCACGATGAAGCGCTTGGCTCGTGCACATTAAAAATAAACAGGCCTTAACATCATAAGAATAGCCGATCCAATATTAATTTTTAAGTGCATTGAATAGAGCTTTTTGTTTTTTACAACCGAACTATGAAAAAACAACAACCGATCTTGCACTTTTGGTGCAAGCCTCTCAGCGCAAATAACCAGAGAATCTATAATATGTACTGAGCCCACTGCCACGAGAGTTCGCGATGTCACGACACAGTACAGCAGGACTGTCCGCGAGTCACAACTCACCGGAAGTTCCCTCCGGTAGCAAGCGGGAGGCAAATCAAACCACAAGCCTGCTCGCAAGACTCTAGCGCAAGACTTCCGCTGCTTTACAAGCCTTCGATTAACCGAGCAGAATCCAGCCCTACCAGCCATAGACCGAGACCTATTCGTCAGTGGAAAGTATGGTGTGTAAACGCTGTCCATCACTCTCTTTGTATGGCGTGAGGGGCACTCTCACCAAATATCCGGTTTTCTAGTAAATTCTAGGCTTGTCTTATGCAGGCTGTGCAGGTTGTCGTGAAAATCTCCCCTTGCCAAGCTTAACTTGTCGGCGTGTTTCGCGGATCGGAGCGTGCGTTTAGAGGGAATGACCGTGCGTTTGTACGTCTAAATTAAATATGTAAAAAACCTGTCAGATGATGAAAGCGTGCGTTTGAGCGGAGTGTACTTTTGTATGGCGTGCGTTTAGGCGGAGACTACTGTATTTATATTGTTTTGTTTTTGTAAAGTGTTTTACGGTGCTCGCAACTGCATAGGTCATATGAGCGCGCGGGACACTCCTAATATTTTCAGTTGGTAGGAAATTTTGAATTTTGCCCGGGTGGCGGCCGAAGCCTACTCTTATCGATTTTAGACCACCAAGGGATCTTTAAACGTGCGCAACTTGCACATGGGCCCTCCGAGATTTTTCGCCCTTGTCCGAGAAGGCTAGGTGTAGATCTTTTCTACCAGAAGATCAGGGGTGTGGCAGAAAGACAGCAGTAAGGAGGAGCCAAGGAGTAGCAGTAGAAAGGCTGCAGAAAGAGTCAGGAGCCCAGAAGAGGGGGCAAAGGAGGTAAGGGGGTGGGGGCAGAAAGTGGAAATGAAAGCAGACAACAGAAAATTGCTAGAGAGCAGGAAAGGAGATGAAAGGAGACAATTTTAAAGAAGAAAATTTTTCTGTCGCAACCCGGATTCGAACCCGGGACCTTTGAATGAGAGGCCAACACCTTAACCTCTAGGCCACTAGATATATATATATATATATATATCTCAAACAATTGTGACCAATTGTAAATGTTTTATGTCCCGTTGGCACAATGTAAAGCATTTAAAATGTGGGATGCTTAAATCCTGCCTGTCAGTTGGACCAAAGCTGGGAAGGAGAAAGCATTCCAGCAGACTGACAGAAATACTATAATACTAAAAAAAAAAACCCAACTTCCCTTCATAGGACTCGAACTCATGCCTTCAGCAGGTAAGAATATTATCATTACATCACAGACGGCGTTTACATATCAAACAGAAACTGCCACTTGAATGACACTTAAAGACAAAAATACAAAATATATATGTGTAATTGATTATGACACTCTTTTGTGATTCATTTTACTGATCATGCAGCACTCAGACTCTCACATTAAAAGAAGACAAATGCAGCACAGTAGTAGTAGTAATTTATAGAAAGTTTTCTAACCCCTCCACCAGGTTTACCTTTGCCATTTTGTACTTCTGAGTAGAAGGGTGATATGGTGTGTTAGTCCAGCTGTATGGAGAATCATCGCTGAAGTTGGATGCTCTACCTGTACCAAATGAAGAAACAAAAGACTGTATAGACAAGTGCAGTTGCTACATTATACCATCACATATTCCCACTTGTGTTCAACTTTATGGTTCTTTATTCGGTCCTTACTCACTACAAATTTTATTTATAGATGCTGAAAAACAAAACTTAACCAGCTCTTTCGTTAATGAATTTACGACGCCATCGTACTCTAAAAAAATATATTGAATATACATTCTTGTAACAGTCCACAACATCAGAAAGCTTGAAAAGCCTTTTACCGATTCAGGTCAAGAATATGGTTGTTATGCTAACACTGTAACTGGCTTAAAATCCACTACTTTCATTAGTTGTAAAGAAGACTCTGTCTTTTCTCATTTTAAGCTTGAGAACAAAGCAAGAGGAGTAAGCAAGAAAACATTTTGAACATGTTTTCAAGCATAATTCTTTTATCCATGGCAACAATATATAAATAGGCCTACTCTACCCTACCCTTGGAAAGCCTCCATTCTCAAACACTATTATCTGAATAAGTCGAAAAGTTTTTCCTGTATGAAAAAAAAAAGTACTGTAAAAGTAAAAGACGAAAAGAGTGTTTGAATACCTGGGTGGAATACCTTCCCCACAGACTGTGTGATGTATCCATTCTGCTTAAAGTGTTGTGGCAGGGTGGTGTAGTTGCCTGCATGAGTCCTCCAGTAGGAATGTAGGTCATACAATCTTGTGGTGTCTGGACGGCGACTGGTTAGAAAGGATGTGCGACTGGGGCCGCAAAAAGCTTGCTGGAAAAAGATGAAATGAATCGAGTGAACAGAAAATTTAACTGCACCAGTCCCATTTAAGTTGCCATTATCTAAAGGCAATTACATAGAACTTCATAGAAGTAAATGCACACATTAAAATGGAAACCTAACAGACAACAGTGTTGAAGGGAGATGTTTCAGCTATTCCTCAGCAACAATGCAAAGAGAACATTAAAAACCAGGAGATCACTCTGAAAAGTAACTCAATGAACAGTACAAGAAAAGTGACATTATATACTGGGCTTGTTCGGAGAATAACACAGCTGCAGTGTGATTTTGATATGACGGATCAGTTTTAGAGTTAGAGTGTGACCTAAAGATAAAAACATCAAAACTACGGTGAGAAACTATACCCATTTGATGATGAAGTAATATAGAGCTGTCTTGGGGGGGGGGGGGGGGGGGGGTATTCTGTGCGTAAAAGCATGAAAGAATAAAAGTGTGGAGTGTAATGGGATTTTTCACCCTCTGTAAAGTAATACAGTAGTCTCCGCCTAAGATCCCACCGCTTATGATCCCGGTTCGCTTAAGATCCCGCTGTTTTAAGAAAACAGAATTTTTACTATACAAAAGTCACCCCTAAGATCCCGCTCTGATTCACTCTGAAGGTCAACATTCGGCTAAGATCCCGCATTTCAGATAATAATTTGTGGAACAAAAACCCGAGCGGGCACAGCTGATCAACCAAGAGTGAAAAGTTGGGATCAATAAACTGTCCATCGTGTCAAAGATCAGCCACTATCGTGAATGTGATCACATACACGTTGTAAAACTCTATGAAGCGATGCAATGTTTGCCCCAAACGGAATCACACCGGGGTGTGAACTGACCAACACGTTTGTTTTCCCCACGCATTGCACTCACATCTGAGCTCTCCCCCCTAAACTTACATCACTCGCTGGGTGGGTAAGGCCTACACGTTAGCTCCAGGCGGGATCACATTGAACTGTGAACTCTTTCCCTGACCATTGCAGCAGTTGTCTCTACTCAAGAATTTGCGAGACAGACTGAATTTTAATTGATGTGTTCACAACATAATGGTGTGTAACGACAAAGGCGGTTGTGGGGAGGGGGGACTCAGTCAGAGATGGAAAGCTATAAATTTTCGACAGGTAAAGGGGAGGGACAACTGAAGAAGCGTAGATCTTGAGACTCATGACAGGATAATAAGTGAAAATGGCATGCCTCATCCCACTATGCACTGTGATAGGCCATCAAGGTTAACCACTCTTTGCTCGCCATATGCCATAAACCCACCCAGGGGTCACGTCAGTTCATTTTAGAGTGGAGGGAGACCATTTTACCGATTGTGAGCCTTAGCATGGGTCACCATAGATTTTTCCCTGGGTTCGTCGGTTAAGATCCCGGTTCGCCTAAGATCCCGCATTTCCTTGCTCCCAAGCACCGGGATCTTAGGTGGAGACTACTGTATGTCAATTTATTTGATTTCAACATTTTTCCCTCTCGACAGTCAAGATAAGCTGCTATAGACCTTTCTTTCAAATCTACAAAGATCCTTGCTGCACAAACATCTTGACATAAAATCTAAAAACAAGCTAAAAAGTCCATTTTCTATTTTGTGAGTAACAAAAAATTAGCTTAAAGACACCGCTTATTTACCTGGACAAAAGACTGCTCAAATAGCAAGGACTTTGAGGCAAGATTGTCAATGTTTAGAGTCTTGAGAATGGGCTCTCCATAGCAGCCGAGAGTTGGCCTCAAGTCATCCACCACGATGAACAAAACGTTCGGCCGACCATTGTTGGCTCTGAAATATCCTCTGCTTTCGCAGGAAGCTGTCCATGATAAAAAAAGCAACAAATGAAAATAGCGAAAGTCAAGACGAGACAGACATGTAGGAGAATATTTAATTGTATTTCGCTAGAAAATAAATCAGGACGGGCAACAATCTCTCTTCCAGTGTTTAACTTATTTTTCTATAAAACAAATGTCAAATTACATGTATGACCAATAAAACAAACTGGATGTTGAGGTTGTGAACAAGAAAGGATAATGTGTTGTTTTGTGGCAATAAATTCAGCGACACCTGCCAAACAGTAAGCCCATTGGGAAACAAACCTTGGTTGTTGTATGGTGGTAGTTGTTGCAAACTGAATTTTTAAGGGAGTAGGGTGTGCAATCTTCTACCACTACCACCTTCAGATGCACACATATACACGCATTGGTCTTGATCGAGGAAAGTGGTGATGCTGTTATGTTGAAAAGCAACAACATAGGCCTGTAAAATCGGCTTTCAAGTGAACAGATGCTTGATCGCAGGGTGGTAATGTTACACACAATAACTTAGACTTTCCCCTCCCTCCAAGCTGGGAGACTTCAAGAAAGTTGGCTCTTGGCAAGAGAGTGTGAAATGAACTCCTGTACCCAGCGTGGTGTATTTTTGACCTGAGAAGGCGTTCGTGAGGAAAGATTTTTAAAAAGTTTAGAGAGGATGAGGGATGCAGTCACACTGAAATTATAGGCCATTCTTGTTGTTCACACAGATTTTAAATTGTCAAAAATATTTTTTGATCAGAAAAATTATGGCAATGAAGGATGCTGTTAGCGGAAAAGGTTGCTGTTGTTGTTGTTGTTGTTGTTATCGATCCAGCAACAGCTGGGCTCTCGCCCTTCTGTCCAATGCCATGTAGTGATAAGTGCAGGTCTG